ACATCAGAACAAAGCCATTATCCTCCCAGGGAGATGGAGCAATAAAGAAGGGTGTCCTCCATACAGATGGCTAACAAACACATGAAAAGATGCTCAACATCACTCATTATCAGAGAAATGCAAATCAAAACTACAATGAGGTGCCATCTCACGCCAGTCAGAATGGCTGCTATCAAAAAGTCTACAGACAATAAATGCTGGAGAGGGTGTGGAGAAAAGGGAACCCTCTTACACTGTTGGTGGGAATGCAAATTAGTACAGCCACTATGGAAAACAGTGTGGAGATTTCTTAAAAAGCTGGAAATAGAACTGCCATATGACCCAGCAATCCCACTTCTGGGCATACACACCGAGGAAACCAGATCTGAAAGAGACACGTGCACCCCAATGTTCATCGCAGCACTGTTTATAATAGCCAGGACATGGAAGCAACCTAGATGCCCATCAGCAGACGAATGGATGAGGAAGCTGTGGCACATATACATAATGGAATATTACTCACCCACTAAAAAGAATGCATTTGAATCAGTTCTAATGAGGTGGATGAAACTGAAGCCTATTATACAGAGTGAAGTAAGTCAGAAAGAAAAATACCAATACAGTATATTAACGCAAATAAATGGAATTTAGAAAGATGGTAATGATGACCCTATATGCGAGGCAGCAAAAGAGACAGAGATGTAAAGAAAGGTCTTTTGGACTCTGTGGGAGAAGGTGAGGGTGGGATGATTTGAGAGAATAGCACTGAAACATGTATATTATCATATGTGAAACAGATCACCAGCCCAGGTTCAATGCATGAGACTGGGTGCTCGGGGCTGGTGCACTGGGAAGACCCAGAGGGATGGGATGGGGAGAGAGGTGGGAGGGGGGTTCAGGATGGGGAACACATGTACACCCATGGCTGATTCATGTCAATGTATGGCAAAACCCACTACAATATTGTAAAGTAATTAGCCTCCAATTAAAATAAATTCAATAACTTTTTAAAAAAAGAAGAGACCAAAGACCACACAAGTTGTTCATCCACACCCTTCCCCTGCACTTCCCCTAGAGTGACCATTCACGACAGAACTCTGCTCACGGTGCAGTGTGGAAAGCAAACCACAGATAGCTGATAACTACACATGCATGATTGTTTAGCTTGGTACCTGCTTGACAATAATGATACAGCTTTTAGTATTCCGCCCCTCATCCAAAATCAGAGTTGTTTTTGTCAGTTCAGTTAGGTGCCATGAAGCAAAGCCCTTACTCTCCAAGCTGCTTTAGGTCCACTCCTCAGTTTTAAGTTACAACCATCCAATATTTATGTCTCACATAGATTTCACCCAATTGGAGCTTTCCTGATTGTTCAAGACAAATGTACAGGAGAGGCTTGTAAGACTTCCTTATTCTCTCAGGAACAAGCTAGTGTCTTACTGCACCTGAGGCATCCTGAGATTTCTTCCCTCTCTGTGCCAGGGAAAGGCCAGAAGGACTGCACGGATTTCACTTTACAATAAACAGGAGAGCATGCTGAAGGCTTCAGCAGCCACATCAGACACAATCAAATAGAAAGTTAAATATCCAGTCAATGACTTACAAGTCTTGTCATGCTCTTTAATGGATTTCGGGTAAGCAGCTGGAGAAGGACCAAATGTATTGCAAATAGGTTTTTAACTTAAAAAAAGTATGTTGTCTGAATTCTCAGTGCTCATTACCTTGAATGCATATCAACCTTGGCCTGTCAAATTGTCCTCAAGTTTTTCTTCAGTCTAACTTTCAGCAAAGTAAAGATCACAGAGTATACTACCCTCATGTACAAAAATGAGGGAAAAAAAGTACTGACAGAAAACAAAGCAAAGACTTACTGTGCTTTTCTTATTAGATCGTGAGTTCCATGAGGTCACTGATTCTTTTTCAATCCTAAATTCCCCAACACCCAGCCCCATGACTGCCTGGCTGTGGCAATAATAATTAAGCATAATAAAAACATATATTGAATGTGTTAATCAACTCAGGCTGCCATTATAAGATACCATAAAGTGGGTGCTTTAAACAACTAGAGATCTATTTCTCACACTTCTGGAGACTTTCCGAGAACAGCCTTCTGGCTGATTCAATTCCTGGTGAGGGCTCCCTTCTTGGCTTACAGACGACTGCCTTCTTGCTGTGTCCTCACATGGTAGAGAGAGGGAGACAGCAAGCTCTCTGGTGTCTATCTTATAATAAGACTAATCTTATTAGATCAAGGCTCCACCATATGACCTCATTCAACCTTGATTACCTCCTTAGAGGCTCTGTCTCTAAACACAGTCATGTTTCAGGTTAAGGTTTCAACATAAAAATTTTAGGGGGAATTCAGTCCACAGCATTAAGCATGTCTTTCCAATTAGCAGATGTGTATAAGTACCACATATTATCTCAGTTAGTCCTTATAGCAACACATAGCTTAAAAAGGAAACTAAAGCTTAAGAAGCTAAGCATCCAGCCCCCATCTCTTCCCTGTACTTCAGACTGCTCTATCCACCTACCATGTAGAAATGTCCCAGAGCCCTCAAATCAATGATGTCTACCCTGATTTCACATTCTTTTCTCTTCACCATTTAACCTGTTTGTTCCTTTCGCCCATTTCAACTTGATACCATCTTCTACCCAGTTATGCAATCAAGGTACCCGTTAACTTTAAGTCTTTTTTCTGCCTTGTCACCCACATCAAAGCTATCCTAATAATTTTTATCCATCGAAGATTTCTTAAAAGCATTCCCTCTCCATGGCTTTTAGCACTTCTTGAGAACAGAACTTGTATTTATTCCCCTTACTTCATTTTTCACAGTCTAGGTTATAATAGCCAAGCACTTAAGCATGACATACAAGACCTTCCATGAGCTGAGCTGTCTCTGGGTCTACCTCTCCTGACTTCTCTCCCTCTGCATCAATCTTGTAATTTACCAAGAAATTCAACAAAATTTAACTTGCTACACTGCTGCATGGCCCTGTCTCCATAGCATACACTCTCTGCTCTGCCTAGAATACAGTTCTCCATTTTCTCTCTCTCCAATCCATCCCTAACACTTCTCTTCCTCACTAGCACTTGCCTTCCAAGATTTAGTTCAAGCATCACCCTTCCTAAGATGCCTTCCCACACTCTTCCAGCTTGAAGAGCTTCCACTCTTCAGTGCCTCCAGAGCATTCCATGTTTATCACCAGCACAATGAATTTCACACTCCAGTAAAATTATATATTTATCTATTGGCCTCTCCCAAGTAATAAGCTCCTTAAGGCAAGGGCTGCTTACAATAGATGCTCAACTTGATTACTCTGCATGTTAAATATTAGTGGTAAATAATTTTTGGATATGTCTACAGACCTCTATCCATCCTAAAGGAGATCAGTCCTGGGTGTTCATTGGAAGGACTGATGCTGAAGTTGAAACTCCAATACTTAGGCCACCTCATGCAAAGAGTTGACTCACTGGAAAAGACCCTGATGCCGGGAGGGATTGGGGGCAGGAGGAGAAGGGGACGACAGAGGATGAGATGGCTGGATGGCATCACCGACTCGATGGGCATGAGTTTGAGCAAACTCCGGGAGTTTGTGATGGACAGGGAGGCCTGGCGTGCTGCGATTTATGGGGCTGCAGAGTCAGACACGACTGAGCAACTGAACTGACTGAACTGACTGACTGACAGACCTCTAAGTACCCTGGACATCCCCGTATGATCCTTTCTCAGTCATCTGGGATGCTGTGCTATGGCCAGGATGTTTTAATGTTCAACCACATAGCAATGTTGGTTGCTATCACCAAGGTACAGTCTGATATGACAGCATCCATTGCAGTAAGAGTTAAAGGAACAGAAGATCTAAACAAACTAAAATTAGCTATATCTTGTTACTCAACACAGTCTAAGTATTGGCAAGACAAATCTCTCAGGCAGGAACAGTGCTGACCCAGCATGGTGAAAAGGAACTGAACTAATACTCAGCAGACTCAGAGAAGAAAACCTGCAATATCCGTAACACAGGAAATTCTGAGTTCTGCTGATTCATCCTGACTTAAAGCTGCAATTACACTTGAGTAAGGAGTACCCAAGCTGACTCTGCATTTTTTTTTTTTCTGCAGAGCTCTCAGAATTTGGCAAACAAGAAATTTAATAGTTGTTCTTTTAGAGTCTTTTGCAATTTCTCAGATATTGAACTGTGGTCACCTACATTGCAGTGTCTGATAGCATTACGTGGTATCTTTCTGGCAAAAATGCAGTCTTAGTCAAAATACTGATGAGAGTTTAAGATATTGACTGGAGCTTCTCAAACTACAGAAAACCATGCAGGAATGCTCCTTCACCAAAGAAATATTCGCTGCTGGCTCAATTAGAGACTGAAGAGTCCTGCTGAAGGCAACAGCTCTTGTTCATGCTTTGAACAAAGACATCTGGGCAACTGGTTCCAACTTGAGAAATAGCATTTAAATATCAACATAAACACATGCTCAGGGGAAAATCGGGTATATCTTCATCAGGATCAAAATTTCTAAGAAAGTGTATTAGAGCAAATTAGGAAGCAAAGAACATTCTCAAAATAGGTACTATTTGCAAGTCATCATTTTCTTTACTCTTCATACAGAAGTCATGTATGATACTTCTGCATACCGAAAGATCAAGTGGAATTTCTAGACTGAAGTCCAATTATACTTGAGTCAGTAACTTATCATGCTTGCTCTATATATATAGTGAAGATTATAGTTAGCACTTGATTAGCTAGTATCACTTCAAATATTTATCCCATTTAAAATCACATTTAAGTACTCCATTTGAGATTTTTAATACATTAAATGTCTCTTCTTTCAGCAAAAGAAAAGAATTAACTTCAGGCTTTATATTTTTCTTTAGGTTCTATATGACATATAATTAGCTAAAAAATATCAGTTGTGTCAACAACAGATATTATTTTGACAAAACTATTATCATGAAGTAGAGTTTTATTGCAATTATTTCTTGACAAGATCATAATTAAATACTTACTTGTTCAATGTGAGGTCAAGAATGAATTTGGAGCCAAAGGCTTCAATCTGGAAGCTTGCCTGGGCCAGATGGACAGCCTATGGATTCAAAAAGACAGAAAGAAACTTAGTTTACTTTCATATCTTTAAAGCTGATTGTATTGATATCAAGAATGATATTTAATAAGAAGAACATTCTATGGACTTATTCTTTTTTTATGGATCCCTATATAATAATTCATTTCTTTAAAAACAGAACAGGTGTATCATCATCGTTTTACTTGGAAGGCCTAAAAATCTGTTGGGCGAGAAACTAATAAAAGTCCTTTAAAAAAGAATCCATCTTGATAAAAATTAAGAGCAGATTCAACTGAACTTTCAAAGTGACTGTGATGAATTATGCAAAAGTCTGACTAATTAAAGCTTGATTTCAGCCTATTTTGTGCACAAAGCTAACCAATTCTTTCTGCACACCTAAATGAAAACTCATGTCAGCGTTCTGCTCTTCATCAGGAATTGGAACTTTCTCTAAATGAATTATCAGCAGAATGTCCCAGTAAAAAAAAAAAACCTTTCAATTTCAGAAAGCACATCAAACCAGGCCCTCTGTGGATACTGAGAGTTTCTGTCCCCTGTGGATACTGAGAGTTTCTGTCCCCTTTTGAAGTCACACATTTACAAATACTGTCCTCATTGTGATTTAACCCAAAATGTAAAGATAATCTCATCTTAACATGAGTCATACATTCTAGTTATTAAAGGGGCTTCCCAGCTGGTGCTGGTGGTAAAGAACCCACCTGCCAATGCAGGAAACATAACAGATTCGAGTTCAAGTCCTGGAACGGGAAGATCCCCTGGAGAAGGGCATGGCAACCCACTCCAGTATCCTTGCCTGGAGAATCCCATGGACAGAGAAGCCCAGCGGGTTATGGTCCTAAAGATTAGAATAGCTCACAGAAGCATCTTGAATAATATAAATCAACAAATCAATGAAGTTTTGTTAAAGTATTATCTAAGAAAAAACTCTCCTTTGTCACCCTATCAGAAAAAAAAGAACAAAGATAAATGTAACATAACCCCCCCCGCCTTGTTCACAAACATCCTTCCTCCAGACTTCATTCTTAAGGCACAGTGGGTGTCATCTATGAAGTGTTACATGCATAGCAACCAGACACTTTTCACTCCCACTCTCCGCAATGCCACTGCTTGTTCCTCTTGCCTTCCTCCTCCACTTCCCATTATCAAAATCCTACTCTTCCTTCAAGGGCAGACCAATGACATTACTTTCCAGTAAGCCTTCTTCACACACACCTGCTGGGAATGAACTTGAGGCTTCAGAAGCACTGTGCCCTCCCTCCACAGTGGTGGATGATCACTTTCCATTACGGATGGTTTGCTTCACAACTGATATCACAGGGGTCTTGCAAACATCTGTATATTAACCATCCTTCCCCAAAATATATGAACTTTCAATTAATTTACCAAATATTTATAATCAGGACTATTTTGTCATGCCAAATCCATAAAATACTATAAGTAAACCATGATTTCAACTTCTTGTCAGGGCTTCCCTTGTGGCTCAGCTGGTAAAGAATCCACCTGCAATGCGGGAGACCTGGGTTCGATCCCTGGGTTGGGAAGATCCTCTGGAGAAGGGGAAAGGCTACCCACTCCAATATTCTGGCCTGGAGAATTCCATGGACTATATAGTCCATGGGGTCGCAAAGAGTCAGACATGACTAAACTTCTTGTCAAGCATAACTGCTGATCTGACAGCCACTCAATAATCAGCAAATAAAATTAAGAGGAAATTAACACATTACATTTTCAATACAGAACAATAAGAAGGTGCCTCAATCCCTAATACCATGGGATATCATGTCAGACCCCACACAACCATGTAGAACAGGGTCATTATCCCTGATTTGAGCTTCCTGTATTCAGACAACTCCTTGAGAAATTTCTACCTTGTCAAGTGTGGTCCCTGTCATCTACAGCAAAACCTCTATTCACCTAATATAACTATCACAAAGTCTTTCATCTAAATTCATTTTGTAAAAAAAAATAAATTCATTTTGTGTCTTGAAGCACTAATTTCTGCATGAAAATTTTTACTTGATGAATAATTTGTATAGGGGAAAATTTTTCATCTCTGGGCCCCAAAAGCTTAAGAAAACAGCTTTTTTTTCCTGGGAATAAGACACGTCCCTTAGGCATACTTTCTCTTAAGAATATTAAATAGTAGAGAAGAGTTCATTAAAGGCACTCTGGCTTAAAAGAGCTGCTAAATGTACTTGTTTGAGCATCTTTATAAATAAGAAGATATTGTGGTAAAAAAGAATAGCTATACATAAAACAAAAACTACACAGAGGGACTTCCCTGGTGGTACAGTGGATAAGAATCTGCCTGCCCACGCAGGGGACATGAGTTCAATCCCTGGTCCGAGGAGATTCCACATGTGACAGAGCACTTAAACCTAGGCACCACAACCACTGAAGCCCACGCGCTCTAGAACCCGGGCTCCACAGAGAAACCACGGCAGGAAGAAGCCTGTGGACCACAGGGAAGAACAGCCCCAGCTCACCGCAACTGGAGAAAGCCAGAGCGCAGCAAGACCAGCACGACCGAAAATAAACAACTGTTTCAGTACTGAAGGAAGAAACTACACATAAATCATGACGTTGAAACAAACAGTGCAAAACTTCCAAATGAGTATTCCAAGGAAAAGCGCTTATAATTCAAGCTTAGATAAATCTCTGTATGTCTGTAAGTAATCTACAGAACCTGCCAGTGACCCAGCAAAAGACTCGTTTTATAGCAAATAAGCACTGAGACAAGTACAAACCCCAAGAAAACTCTGATGCAAAATAATGTAGCCGGGTAATAATTGCTCATGTGAGTGCGTGTGTGTTAGTCGCTCAGTTGTGTCCAGCTCTTTGTGACCCCATGGACTGTAGCCCACTAAGCTCCTCTATAGCTGCTTACTCCACTTTAAAGAAATTATTGAGAGTCAGACAATTTGATCGTTGTTAAGTAAGTTTATACTGAGTCAATGTGGCAAGTTTCAGTTTAACAGAATTTAATGAAAAACCTGGCAAGTAATATTAATACTGGGATTTTCCTTTATTTTATTTAGTCCTTATACACACAGGTGTTGAGTCCCACCCTATGTAGAAAGATGGCTGGGACACAGCCCAGGCTCAAGAAAGCAGCATCTGTCAGAGAAGCAGGCAGGGCTCTCAACCTCCACGTGTCTAAGGAGCCACAGGGACCAAGGCTTCAGTGACAAGGTGCAGTTTGAACAAAGTTTTTAAAAGTGAGTAAGAATCCACCTGCCCGAGGACCTACTGCATATAGCACATGGAACTCTGCCCAGTGTTATAGGGCAGCCTGGGTGGGAGGGGAGTTTGGGGGAGAATGGATACATGTATATGTATGGCTGTGTCCCTTAGCTGTTCACCTCAAACTACCACAACGTTGTTTGTTAATCAATATGAAATTAAAAGTACCTTTTAAAAGTACCTATATTTGCCTATACTTTGGAGTAGCCAATTCTTTGGAAAAGACCCTGATGCTGGGAAAGACTGAAGGCAGGAGGAGAAGGGGGTGACAGAGGACAAAGATGGTTGAATGGCATCATTGACTCAACGGACATGAGTTTGAGCAAGCTCCAGGAAATAGTGAAGGGCAGGGAAGCTGGGAAGCAGGACTGCTGCAGTCCATGGGGTCTCAAAATGTCAGAACACAACAGGGCAACTGAACAACAACAATAAAAATAAAATTAAATGCTACAGATAAAAAAAGTAAAAAGAATCCACCTGCCTGGAGAAGAAAAGATATTCAGGGCCTGGGGGGAAAACAATTATAAAAATAGAGTAAAAAAATTAACGTGGAAAGCAAACTTTAAAAAAAAATTTTAATGAAATCGCCTATAGGAAAACAGCTTTTGGGGGAAACATCGAACAATGACTCTGAAAAGGTGGGCTGTGGAGCTTTGAGTGATGTGCTCAGTGACACGTCTGCTCACATATACATGTGTACACGTGGCCCAGACAGAGAGCTTTCCTTTAAATGTCCCCACACTTACTCAGCAGAGTGTCTGGCATATGCCATCATCATCATCATCAATACCAACCCTAGGATTCAAACATGTTGACAGACTCCTCTTCACAACAAATGAAACAATTAGTATGACAACACCAAAAACATTTCTGTTTCTCCACAGGAAAATAAAATTTTATTTTGTTACCTTTATCAGGAAGACTGTTTTAACATCTAAATTCACTTTAATGCTGAGAGGGAGCAAATTTTCCTATAAAATGACTTAAGATTTCCTTAAACATTCATCTTCGTTGCATAGATAGCAAATGGAATTAGTACGTTCATCTAAAATATCTGTACCCATTTGAAGTAATTTCAATACAGTGGTGTATATTATTTTTCTCATACTCTCTTTCCTTTGCTATACATTCTGCCTTTGTACACAGAGAACAGATTCTTCTCTAGACCAAAATAAATACCTGACAAATGCTACTTTTCCCTATCATTCTGTTATTTCTGCTCTGTCCTAGACATGATTAAAATGAGCTTTAACTTTTGGAGTCTCTATGCTATTCCACATCAATTGATCATTTTTTCTTCAACAAAATACCAAGTATATATATATATAGTTTTGATAATAGTCAATTTTAAATATGTTTTCAAATCAGGTAAAATGAGTCATTATTTTTACAAATTACATTTGTGGATACTGTTTATTTTTATTTCATAGTAACCCGATTCTTCCAAAAGATTTAAAAAAAAAATTAGAAGAATGGCCAGGACGGGTAGAAAATTTTTGTAATACGTGGCCATATTGCTTATAGCTTATTAAATATTTCCAAGTTAACTGACCAGCACCACTGAAACCCGCTGAAAATATGAAGACTGCCTCAAAGAGCATTGCTCAAAGGAGGACCTGCACAGTGAGGCTGAGAAACACGTTCAATAACACAGAACCACAGAAATCTTCAGAGAAGGTGCCTGAACCACCCATCAGGTCATAATGGGTTATTTTCTCCATCAGGATATCTGCTAGACAGATTCAAAGATTAACACTTGTTTTTACAAGCCCGTCACTATAATAGCACTGTGGAAGAACGCAGGGTTTCAGAGTCAAAGAGCGTCATTTCACGACAAGAATAAGCACAACCCTGGGCTCAGAATTACCACCCTGAGGGACTGAGCGCAGCTGTTGCCTAAGCACTTTGGTATTTTTCTTTTGACTCAGAATCTGGCACAGGGAAATTACAGGAGCCCAGTAAACAAAAACAACTAAACTCAATTATATACACAAACCTCCTTCACTGAAGAACAATTTACACATCTTAACAATGTGCTGCTGTTTTCCTGTGATTTTTTCCTTTTAGTAGATGGCACCTAATAATATTGGGTTGGCCAAAAAGTTTCTTCAGGTCCGTCCGTAACATCTTCTAGAAAAATCCAAATGAACTTTTGAGCCAATTTAATATCTTATTAAATAACTTACAAGACCATTAGATTCTTCAGCTAAGACTGGCGTTGCATCTTATCCGCCAGTGTTATGCTACTAAGCAGTCATAAATATTCAGCTTTAGGTAAGGTACACTATATAAGCTGAAGAGACACAGTGGTTTTCTTGGGACTTACATTCCAGAATAGTTAACTTTAATATGGACATGAAAACAATGGAAAAAGATGACTATCTACTTATAGAAATGAAAAGCAAGTATTTCCAGGATATAGATGTTTTCATGCAAAAATGCTTCACACATAACAAGTATTCAATTAGTATTCTGTACTACTTACATGGACTTGTGAATTCTACAGAGTGTGTGCATAACTGAAACAGAATAGGGGAAACACGCAGTTTACACTTTCTCAAATTCAGAAAACATGACAAGACTGAATTCTGTATTTCAGCAGAAAAGTGAGCAACTTGAATTGCGGTATCTGTGCTATCAATGACAACATTCACTGAGCATGTATTTTACTTTATTATGCTCTATAAGAGACACGATTAGGGTAACAGAGGAAAATTTAGAAGTTTCCCTGCGCTTAAGATATATTCAGTTTATTTAAGGAGATGCTCATTTAAGTAATGAAGGAAACGCATCCAGAGTGGCAGAGCAATAAGACAAGAAAAAGCTTTACAAATAGGGAGCAAAAGACCTGGAAGGTATCAAGCGAGCCTGAGCAGACACCACTGAGATGATTTCAGCTCTGCTTCCTGAAGAGGAGAGCTGTGGCTCTAGGAAAGAAGGTGCTTGAGAAAGAAAACTGCTAAAATTAGAGTTCGAAGACAGATTAATAAAACTGCCTCATTAGACACGACCTCATTAGTAATCAACCATTCAGCTGTCTC